TAGAGTTCCCCCATCCCAGGTTTGCTGGGCCCCACAACTATTTCCCCAATCCAGAATAGAGGTAGACCCAGATCCTCCCTCCTTGGCCCTGTCCACCACTCACTGTCCCAGCTGGTGTTGCACAGTTTTGTGAACCTGAACATAGAATTGGGGCTCTTAGTGCCCAATTTCCCCCCAACACTTCATCATTCAGAATCAGCTGGGGTCTTATTGCTCACAGTCAGACCATCCTGGGAGATGGCTGACCTCTCGCCACTCACTCATGACCTCCATGTCTACTGTTGAACCTGTAGAGGGTTCAGTAGCCTGTGCAACACCAAAGCCTCATGAGTGACCAGAATATCAACCACCACCTTTGTCCCACTCTCCCAGGATAGGGCCCCCTGCTGGGATCATAGCACCTTACACCTTCCAATCATGGAGAGTGACCAGACTCTTTGCCTCCTTCTTGGAAACCATAAGTCACTGGGAATCAACCTTCCTGATGCTGTGACCCTTTAAGACCGGTGGTCATGTGGTGGTGACCAACAAGTATAAAATTATTGTTGTTGGGACCCTCTAAATGTCATTTTGCCACTCTTTTGAATCACCAGGCAAAGATCTGTAATTCAGATGGTCCTTGGTGGGTCTCTATCCACAGGATGAGAACCACTGTGATAAGAGAAGATCTCTGTTGGTTTCACAGCACCCAGTGAGATGAGTTTCCCAGATCCCATGATTTCTCCTGCTCTTTTGACACAGTAACCTGTTTCATTTAGTCTGCACCCTAATACAGGCCTTATGGGGCCAATAACCACAGGACCCACTGATTTCATGACACTCCTAGGCCTTGCTGGAATCTTGTAGTTTGCATGCCATTCTTCTTGGGTTCTGCCCAGGTCTCTTGCCTTCTGCAAGTGTGCACATACTTCCTGTCTCTGTGGCGTCCAATGCCTGTGCAACAGCCCATGCTGGGCAGGCCCAACATGCTACAGTCCCTCTACTGTCCTGGGACTCCCAGAGAATCTCGGGTCATGCAGACTGCACACCAGCTCAGCTTTTTAGCACTCTGGATCTTTATCCTCCCTCATTGTCTCTTGTTCTCTGGGTAGGCCTAGCTGGGGTCATCTACCATGTATGGATGCCAAGACCTGTGTGTGCCTTAACTCCTTTGCTGTATAAAGGATGCTGCTGCCAGATAATATCTTTTATATATGACAAGTAATAGATACCCATGAACTCTCAACAATATGGTTGTCTGCACAAGACCTCCACCATGACCACACCAACTGACATGCCAACCTGAATGGAGGAAACTTCACAAGGCTTTATCCCTATTCAAAGAGCCTCAGGTAATTAATGGCTTCTGAGAGAGGGAAAACCAGAAACAATATCAATGTCTATTACTTGATGAAGAAATTATGGATTATACTCATAGAAATACTGCTAGTTTGGATTAAAAGAAATAGAGATGATGCAAAATGAGGGAAAGCTATTAGACTTTTTAACTATTAGACTTTTTAATTTTAGGATGAAAGGGTACAACTATTGAACTGCAAATATGGAACATTCTTCAAAATATGGGGTGTACACCTTCACTCCCAGCACCTGGGAGGCAGAGACAGATGGATCTCTATAAGTTCAAAGCCAGCCTGGTTTACATAATGAGTTATAGGCCATGTGGTCTATACTGTGAGACCCTGCTTCAAAATAAAATTAAATAAAAATGGAGAAGAATGAGTCAAAGGCAAATAGGGGATTAGTAGTGCCAATAATCTGTCCAAAGGCCACAGTCCAGGGGTCCATGGGCCAAGCCTGTGTCAACTTCTGAGAGTTGAGCTACCACTTCATTTTCATTGGTCAGGCTTCTCTCACCCAGTGGGTCTACAGGGCAGACTGTCAAACCCAAGAAAATAACTTCTCAAACTCTTGGATAGAATGAAGCCATCCTTGCCTGGTGTCTTGGAGTTGTTTGGACTGTCCCCCATTTCATGTTTCTACAGTCTACTACTTTCCTCTGCTCTGTCCTAAAAGCATTTAACTGTATGGATTCACAGATTTACAGCTCAGGAGGTTTGTGCTGGGGATCACATCCAGGCATGTCTTTGCAGACATACACTAGGCAAGTGCTCTACCACTGAGTAGTAGTCTAACTGTTATAAAAATTGTATCTTGAGACAGAGTCTGGCTGAATTACTCTCTGGTTGACTGTGGATATGATGAGGCTGACTGCTTGAGTTCCTCCTTGACTTCCTGGAAAGAGTATGCCTGGAATTGTAAGCCAAGTAAGCCTTTTTCCCCCAGAGTTGATTTTGGTCAGACTGTCACAGAAGCAAAAATGAAATTAGAACACCAGACCTGTCTGAATTTAGCCCTAGTAATTTAATTCACTTATTCAGATTATGATGATTAATAACAATTGCCTGAAGCTACAGGTCAGGATAAAAGGGTCTAAGCTACCTATCATGACCTTACAGATGCTTTACAGCCTTTAACTGGCCTGAGAACTCCTCTATAAAAATGGGTTATGTAGACTACCAATAAGAATAAGGTGTCACTGTTGTAGAAAGAAGTATCAAAAGTACTATTATCCTGACCTTGCTGAAAAAATTAGTGAGGACCTAAGAGATGCAGTGACTAGCTGACCTATACCTAAGTAGTACATAGTGAGGTTGAAATTGAAACTCATTCTTTTCTTCTAATTGAGCTCTCTTTCTCTCCACCACATGGTATGTGTCACACCATCCTCCCCCACTGTTATGAGAATATACTTAGTGTCAAGATATTTTTGAAGCTCTTGTAACTAATAGAATCTGTAATATATGAAGTTCTGTAATTCATTCATTCTTCATTTCAAGAAACACACAATGAAAATGTGCTGGGTCGCATACCCTAAACTAGATGTGGAATTATTTTAGGTATTCAAGAGAAATCACTAGTGAGCAATTCTTTACTTTTTTCATTTCCTCCTTCTCTCTCTCTCTCTCTCTCTCTCTCTCTCTCTCTCTCTCTCTCTCTCTCTCTCTGTGTTGTATTGGGCGTGGGTGGGTATCAAGGGCCTTGTGAATACCCGGCAAGTGTTCTAGCACAGAGTTATATATCCCTAGCCCTGAATAATTCTTCTTAAATACATATCTAGAAGTAAAACCTAAATTTTTCTAATTTAAAAAATCATTTCATTTTGCTTAATTATTTGTGGGAGGAGACACGTGTGGTGTTTAGAGGACATCATGCAGCAGTTGGATCTTTTCTTCTACCCTATGGGTCCTGAGAATTGAATTCAGGTCATCAGGCTTAGTATCAAGCACTTTTACCCACCTGAGCCATCTTGTCAGTCCCAACCTGGATTTTTCTAAAAGACTCAGAGTTCTTCATTTGAAAGGGGCTGCAAGAAACCACATTATCCATTTCCTCTCCCTCAGAGTTGTGCCCAACTTGAATGACTAAAATCAATCCTAATAAGAACAGAGCATCCAAGCACTGATCCTATGTATATGTCTATCTATGAAGGGGGAGAACAAGACACATTTTTAATTAACCCTGTAACTCCAAAAGGTAGTCTTATTATCTCTCCAATAAAGGAAATTAAGGTATAAGAAAATTAAGTAGGTTATCCATTATCAGAAGTTTCTGAGCTAATATTTGAACTCACACACTCTGTTGTCAATATTTCCATTCTTTGAAAATTAAATTTTAACTTAGCATATAAAGTAATGGGTTTCATTATGGCATTTTCTTATGTGTCATTATGCTTTGTTCTTACTCATCCCCCTCTCCATCTTCCGTACCCCTTGTTCCCTACCCGCTCTGGCTGATTCTCTTACTTTTCCCACATGGTTTGCCTATTATGATTTTTTAAAATCACATGTATTCCATTATGCTCTCTTCTAATCCCCCTTAAGATCCTTCATTCCGTGGCTTCTACATTCTTTTATGACTATTAGCCATATTCCCAAGATGTCTTTACATAGAGTGAACAGAAAGGGAGAAGTTAAGAGGAAGGAAAGAAAGGCGATAAGTGCTCTGTATTTCCCCTTAAGCTCATGGGACTTATCCCATCCTGTGAAGCAGGGAAAACCTGAGTTTTCACAAGGAAGGGATTCAACTCATACTCCTATTAGATTCTTTTTAAAGGTAATAGAATTAAAAATGTTCTGGGGGAGCTTCTTGAAGTAGTTTTATTTTATCTTATTTTAGGCCTCTTTAATTCCGTCTCAGCTAGACAGAAAATGGAAAAACTGTAGGGCTTTATGTTCCAAAACTGTTACTCATCCTAGCTCCACCCCCACTCCTACTGCCACCCCCACAATACAACAATCCAAGAAATAATGCAATGTACCTTTGGGGAAAAGTGACTTTATAGTTGTTTTGGATCCTAAGAACATACCCTTTTCTGGCCTGATGATTTCTCACCTTAACTTCCAAGCAAAGTGTTTCCTAATGCAATACTTCTGCTAGGGAAAGCTGCTTCCCAGTCCTGCCCAGTCTCCAGTGGATAGTAATACTGGAAACCTCAGCAGCTCTTCCAGCAAACAAAACGGAGGCGGGCTACCTGGCCAATGGCTTCTGCGATAAGGTTTCTGGGAAAGATGTTATTCTGCAAGAACACATCGTTCAGATCTACCCTCTGCACGGGATAAGGGTAAGTGTTGGAGGAATAGATGAAATAGGGTGGACAGCATGAACACAGGGTATGTGGCTGTTCCAAGAAGAAAGAGATGAAGAACAGACTATGTAACTCTTTTGTCTTTCTCCCAAGCAATAATACCTTGAGTAATTGCAGAGAGAATCTGATTCATTGGATATATTGTATGAGAGATGTCACAAAAGAACTTAGCTATCTATCTCAAAAGTTTCAGGTATTTATCTTGCCTTGCCTTGCTTGCCAGGCAGAGAATACTAGAAGAAAATAGGCCTGCCATATGTACAGTGCTAGCCTATTGGTAAAACCTTGTATAAGGTTTTGTTAACCCTGACTCATTCCATCATAGCCAAGAAGTTCTTCATCTGGCCAAATCCATAGTTTTCTTGGATGCCAGCAAAGACCAGTTCTCTTCAGCTGCTCTTCCCAGCTGGACTTTGATTAGGAGTTCAGTAATACTAATCCACGCTACAGTAATTCCTTGTGACTTACCCTCCTGAGGAGCCATCAGATGGGATGAGCCTCTGGTAAAAGCCTGAGAGTGGGTAACTCCAACATGCTTATCCCTACTAACCCTGTAAGTAATCTACCCACACCCTGGAACTAACATTCCCATCTGTCTGGCACTATCTGGCATAGCTACCTTTTCATTTTCAGGGAGGAAAGGAATAACAATAAACTATTTCATGGTTTCGAATGGGTTCAGGAGGGAAAAAAACCTAAGGCTCATAGCAGGGAGGTATAGAGAGACGGGAGGCAGAAGATTTCAGCCGCTATCATCAGTGCAAAAACACGATGCATTTGAAGGTTCAAATCAGGAAATGAGGTGTGGCAAGTAGGAAAAAATGCCAAAGACTAAAAAAATATTCCATCAATTGTTTGCTTGTCAAAGAGCCCAAGAAATGGCTTTGTACTGGGAGCTAATTTTTTCCTCAAATACTTCTATGCAATTCCAAAATGCTTGTCCTATATATCAATCCTCACATGTAGTTTAATGAGTGCAAAGATAGGACCAGGAAGCTTCACTTTGCAACACCAGAAAACGTGAAGACTAAGAGTTCAAGGTCTTTCATTATGAGTTCAAGATGAAACATGAAGTCTTCAAGATGCAAATGTAAAGTTAGGTTGTACGAACAAAAGCATAATGCTCATTAGTGAGCCAGTATTTATATTCTATTTTAAACTGTTAAGACCACATGTATGCTGGGCATGGGAGCATCTCCTATAATCCTGGCATTGGCAGAAAGACCAGGAGTACACATTCAGCTTTGGGTAGCCAGGGAGTTTGAGGCCTGCCTAATACATATAAGATCTGTCTCAAAAGAAAACAGAAGGGAGGGAGAGAGAGAGAAAGACAAGGAAGGATGATACTTGATATCAATTGTCTACTGTTAGATACCGTACTTCACAAACAACAAAACCAATGCAAAGTGGAATCCCAGACTTAAAAAACCAAGATAACAGGTACACAGAGTTACAGCCAAGTCTACCTGGGAGAACTAAGAAACATACTACCTGAATACAGTTGATCTTGGCCTTGGAAGCTAAGCAGGGTGGTCCTGGTTAGGACTTGGATGAGAGAAACTGTCATGGCTAGAACCAACAATGGCAATTGAGTTTTACCCACTAACTTATGTCCTGTTCTTTAATTCAGTCTCAGCTAGACATAAAATGGAAGAGAATAAAAATGAAGATGAGGCAGAAAAAGATAGGTACTTTAGAGGAAAAGCAGTATCAAGTCAACAGTCAGTGCCCCCTTAAGACTTCACAGGGCAAGTAGAAGTACTCTTCGCTCTGTCTGCCATGGGCTCACAACAGGAAGAAACCACACTAATCTGTAAAAGTTGCATACTCAAAAGCCCTTGGCTCTACTAATTCCAGTCAGTCTCTCTCTTGATGTTCCACAGAATTGAACATGGAGGAGTCTACACACAGATGCTCCAAATGAGTCAAGAAGTTTGATATGGGTAACTTTAGATGCTTGTTTTCCCAAGAAAAGATTAATTTGCTCACCTCTATTAATGACTCAGGACCAGAAGTTACTAACTAGCCCTAAATGAAGCTACACTCTTTCCAAGCTGCATTCTCAACTTGTAACACCTAGCCCAATTAAGTGCTATTTCTTCACCATTGTTATAATTTCCCTAAATTTATTTATAATTGTGTTATGCAAAGCCTCCCAGAATTTGGTTTAAAAAATCTGTCTAATCATATGTTTAAGAACTTCAGTGAAAAACTTCTCTATTTGTCTTTCTGAGCACAAGTCCTCCTCTTCAGAGACTTCTCTTGCCTGCAGGGTTGTATGATAGAATCCTTCTACAGTGTCTCTTAGTACTGGCACTTTTGTTGTCCCTCTTCTTTTCTTACATTGTTTTTATTTTCAGGCCAAATCATTATTCCTAAGGCATAATAACAAAGCTCTTAAGCTATACCTGCCTATACTAGACACTCCAAAAATATCTGTGTCCTTTACTTGCCACTTGGTAGATGTTACCTTCTGTCTGTCTTTGCCTTTCTGTTGTCATAGTCAATGCTGACTGTTCAACAGGTGAGAGACACAGAAGGGAATAAGCATATGTTTGCCAGAGGACTGCTCATTTCAAATGCTCACCTCAATTTTCAGATGTTCTAATTTTTGGTTGGAAAATATGGTCACCATAAGTGTAAGGCATCCATGAAAAATGCACAGTACATAATTATATCAGTGCAATTCAGTTTCAGAGACAAAATGTCCTTAAAGGTCTAGAGGCATTCAAAGAAGATACACCAGAAAGGACTAATACAACTAGGCAGGCTTTAACAGAATAAGTTGAGTTTGGCCTTGGGAGATGGGTCATATCTGGATACAGTAGGGATGGGATTTGGGGTGAGGGTCATCATCTAAGCATATTAAAGGGCCATTTGTATGACTATAAATATTGCTCAGCTGCATCTTACAACATCAGCTAGTTACTTGGCACCAGAACTAGATGCTGAGATCAATTGTCAAAAGGCTTTGCCCAATCCCTTAGTCCCACATCCCATATAGCCAGCTCATTCCCTGGCTTCATCTGAGTGGGCTCCTAGGATAGTCCCTTTCCACTAGTCAATCAAAAGTCAAGCAAATTCACTTAACTGTAAACATGCAAAGAATCCCAACCAGTGACTTGATATGATCATCACACTCAAGGCCAAAACTCATTCAACATTTTGCTTTCATCTCAAAATTGATTTAGAGTAGTTACATAGATATAACCTACAGCAATGCTGATATAAACCAATAGGCAGATCATTTCAAAATAGTAAATGAAAATAGATAAATACAAATAGGAATCAAGTACATAGAGTAAGCAATTACATTATGTGAATATCAAGTTCCATTAGCAGATAAGTGAACAGGAAAAGGCAAGAAAATCTCATGACAGAGTAAGATTGGTAGAAATGATTAAGTTTCTTTGGCATGACTTAGGAAAGCCCAAGGGAATTAGAGTATAAAAAACTGGCTGAAAGTAAGCTGTGGGAAAGGCAAGGAAGCTTTGCCTAAAGCTTTTGTAAAAGAATAAGAACATTTAAACAGGACCTTGGCTCACCTGACAAGTACAATTGCCTTTACTCTTAATTATTGTTTTTTTTTCTAATGCCTCATAAAATAAGCATGTCCAACACCTTGTATCACCAAATTACTGGCAAAAATTGTAGAAATCCTTGGGAGCTATGAAAATCAAGTAGTACTACTATTATCAGAATTATTAACATCTAGACAAATTAACAGATAAATAAGTAGAATTTATTACAAGAAATGTCATGATCCAGAGATGTGAATGGACAGTTAGCTTCTTGAAGGCTTCCTATGTACTTCAGAAATCTTGCTAGCTGCATATATGTTACAGGCATTGTGAACAATTTCTAGGAATGACTTACGAACATTATACACATTGCCTAGGAATTGTTTACAATTCCTGATTTAACATTCCGCTGGAAAAAAAAATACCAGTTAACTTGGTCATACACTCACTGGCTTCAAAGCAGAAGGCAGCATTTCTGCAGGCCTGCCATGTAATGGGAAGATTGACTTTTATATAAAAAAGATAGACAATGGCTAAATAGCTGTGCTATAAGCTTCAAAGACTCACATGCAGAAGACTATGCATGAGCTGACGGGAATAAACCTAAGTGCAAAGAAAAAATTCCTTGCATTATTTTTAAAGTGAATTAATTGTATGGCAGTCATAAATCCAAACATATAATGCATAAATATTTCAATAATTGAATTAAAAATTTAAGTCTACATTTCTTTCTTTTCACTATTTTTTAGTAAATTAGCTACTAGCAATATTTCTTTTTAATACGCAGGATTTGTACACTCAGATATGTACTGAATTGTCTTAAGCAGTCCCCCTAAGAATATGTTCTGATATTGCCATTGTTCAGAATATTTTTGAAACGCTGCTTTGAGAACTGCCTTCTGAGCCAGTTTATGAATGAGACGATAACAAAGCCACATTGTATTCTTATCACATTTCAAAACTTAGCCATTCAACATAGTAAGTACACAATTTGTATCCAGCAGATTAATCTTAGAAATCAAAATGCAGCCACATTGTATCTAAGGCCCTGTTCCCTGCCACCCTCAGACTGGATGCAAGACAGTCCCTCACTCTCCACTCAAGCACCCTAAAAGACATGTCCAGTTGAGAAGAACTGACTAAAATTTGTTCTAAAAGTCTAGACTAAACTTTTCCAATGAACTTGCATGGTATACTATGTTTGGCTAGACCAAGCAGCTCGACTGTAAGCTTCATAATATCAGTTCACTGACTTATTATTAGCACCTACAGCCATGTTTTGGGTGTTATTGTTGCTCAATAAATACCTGTTGAATGGTAGGTGGATGGATGTGGGGGGAGGTGTTGATGGGTGTATGACTAGATGGATAAACTTCTTAAAGAGTTATTATGGATCCATCTTGAGATGTAGTTCAGTGATAGATAGAGCACTTGCCTAGCATATACTAGTCCCTGGGATCATACCCCAAGTATAGAAGTAAAATAAAATAGCTGTCATGGCACAGCAAGTATTATTGGGAAAGTGAAGTACAAATGATGGCTATATGGAACATTTTCCTTCTAGCAGTGAGCCCAGCATAACACTGTTTGCCAGTAGCTAACAAAGATTCTGGTGGTGGCTATAGCAAACATCTGGATTGTGAGCTGGGTAGTTTAGAGCCATTAAAAGAAGTTAGTAGTACCTTGCCTCTTTTGGCCCAGTTGCTGATACACATACCAATCATAGACGAGGCCTCTGACATAGGTCAGCTTGCCTGCAAACAAGTGCCACAGGGTTTCATGTTCAAGGGTAACTAGTGAAACACCATTATCTAAAGTGGGTCGAGATAGGTTACAGAGCAAACTAATGAAGGATGCAAGAGCTCCCCATCTAATTTGGGAATAGATCCTGTCCTAGAGACAGCAGCAACAGCAGTAGCAGTGCTACTAGTATAAAAGTCGTAAGAGTAAATACTAAAGCTCTGCTGGTTATAGTGTTGATAACAGTGCTGGACTGGCTGAGTGCTTAATCCATGGGATACACTAGATATATATAGTACTTTGTTAGTTCTCCTGACAAAAGTAATGAGTCAGCAATGTTACCATTAGTTTTGTAGCTAAACAAAGTGAGCTTATGATAGGTTAACACACCAAGCTAGTCAGGGGTCAAAGCCTTTGCCTGCCTGACTCCGGTGCCAGAGAGCGAATCACAATAGCATGCTGCCTCTAGGCATTATGTTCTGCCCTCTGACACATCCTCCCATGGCCAACAATAAAGATACAAAAGAAAGCTAAACCTATACCCTAGTTCAAGCCTAAAATGATTTGGTCCTACTTTACTGTATTTGATAATAGTAGCTGCAAAGCAACCCAATCCTAGAGCCTGAACATCTGTTTTTAAGACCTTGAGTGAGTATGTTTTTCTGGAATATCCCTTCAGAAATGTTTTTTGAACATTTGTTCAAACAAGCTGAGGTCTGGACACCCTCTGATGCCTTTCTCGATTGGTTATGTGCCAAGTATGACATGATCTTCTGCATGTGGTTTGAGTTAGGTGGAAGTGTTGCACATGCCTGGGATACTGGGCAAGCTCGCTAGAGCTGCCCCTAGATGCAGACAAGGCTGACTCTAGCAGGCCCACTGAGGAGATGGTAGATCTGTGGTGACTGGAATGGGAGCACCAGTTGGATGGGTCACCCCATCAACCCCATTGAGCTAGGCCATTTGTATTCCAACAATTCTTCCCCCCTTTGCTTGGATATTTAATTGTGTTTGGGACAAGTTCCAAACTACCCAGTGCTCTTCTCAAGCCCTGTGATTCGAGAGAGTTTCAGAGTGCTGAGCCTGAGGCACTTGTTACTATGGTCTGGCTTTCTTGCTGCAAACCACAGGAGCTCTACCTGCTGTGCCATGGGATCTTTAGGGAATTGACCAATGTCTTTGGAAAGCGCCTCCTCGTGCATATAACTGGAAGGGACTACAATCCCAGACAGTTTTACAGCTTTGGCAGGATGGAGGTATACACTGAGGATAGATTGAATGTCACCTCTTGGCCTGGGTTTGTGGGAGATGGCTGAAGAGCCCATCAGCAGAGCTGCCACGTGGCCAAGTCCATGTGAGTGATGGAAACATGGCTGTGGGAAGAGGCCAAGGCCAGTAATGAGGGAGGAGACACTCAAACCTACGGGGAATCCCTGAATCCCCAACATCTGTGAGAAAGATCAGAGGAGGCTGGGGGGTAAAAAGCAACAAGAAAGCATTCAGCAGTTCTAAGTATCCACAGAAAGAAAGGAAGAATACCCGTGTGCTGTGGGCAGGGAGAACTACAGGTGTCAGGCCTGCCTGAACATTCAAGTTCAGGGGCACAGCAGACAGTGAAAGTGCTTCAAGATAAAATATAATTCTTAACTAGGAGCAAGTATTTCCTTATGCCTTACGCTATGAACTGCTGAAGTTGCCTCCAAATATTCTTGAGAAAACCCTTCTTTCCTTTCTTCAACGCAAAATGCGTATGTGCCACTGAAAATCACCTCTCCACACACTTAGCCTAACAACTGGGAGGAAAGAAGGCTGCAGGTTATATGTGTGTTTGTATCCTGATTGATTGAGTTGATAAGGTTTAGAGAGAATGAACCGGGTAAGAATGAATCACACATTTTCGATGAGAAGTCATGAGGGCCTAATAACGGGTGCTGTAGTGAAGCGTGGAAGAGGTTGCCTGTTGGGAGATGAAACTGTGAAGGATCAGTACCACAGCTTAGCAACCGACTACGTTTATCAGGGAAATGGAAAAATGTAAATGCCATTTTTATCATTGCCAGTAATTGTTAAGGTAAAAGCAGCGCCAGTAACAGGAACAGGGAGAAGAACTAGTCTGGGGGAGAGGAGAAATACGCTTAGGGTGCCAGACAGACCTAGAACATTTTAAGATTCTTCTCTGACCCAGAAGAGAGGTCAGGGCTGGAGACAGACATCCAGGCAGGCATAGTTTACATGTTCCTTTACCTAAATCCAAACCTGCTAGTTCCCAGTCACTATCAGCAGAGGCTGCAAACAATGGATATCTGAAACTTCTGCCTTCCTGCTTCTACTGCTAAATTCCCCTGCTGCTCAGTTTCTTCTGTCCTCTATCTCTAGAATGCTATAATAGGAGAACCTACCTGGTCTCTTCATCTATCGTAAGCAATCACAATATATGTAATATCTATATTCAAGAATGACTCTTTACATTTCCAAACACATGTAACATGTGAGTAACAAATGATCCCAACAGATTATATTAATCAGTTTCCATTTCCTTGGACATTACTTACACAGATGGATAACTTGATATGTATGAGAAAAACCTAGAAAGGAAGATAAGGTGAGTGCTACAGAGTTATGGTGACCATATTTTCTGAAACAAAAATTTGACACTGGTTCTTGTTGAAAAACTTGCTGAAATCTTCCCTGGTTGAATGAGGCAATTTAGGAGATACAACTAAAACAATGAAAATTGCATTTCCCAAGACATTTCAATTGTTCCCCGGGAACAATAGGACAAATACTTATCGTGGGAAATGCACAGAGTAGAATACCAATAACATGATATATTTTGTGGTTTTGTGCTTTAAAGTTTTTTCTTTTATTCTTTTCATATTCTATAACTTCCAGTCTAGATTTAACAGTCTTGGCATTTGCTCCTTCTCTAGAGAACCTGAGGGACCAAAAATACTGAAGGTCAGTATGAGAAGACACCTCAGAGATAAACTGAACTCTGTTTGTTTGTTTCTGAGACAGTATCTCATATATCTCAGGCTGTCCCCAAACTGAAAATGTAGCAGATGGTGACCTTAAACTTCTGATTCTCTTGCCTCTACCACCCAAGAGCTAGGATTATAGACAGACATGTACCACCATGCTTTGTTTATGTGGTATTGGTGATAGAACATAGAGCTTTGTACATGCTAGAAAACTACTCTACCAACTGGGCAACGTCCCCAGCCTAAAACCACTCGTTTTTTTGTTTTTTTTTTTTGTTTTTTTTTTTTTTGAGACAGGGTTTCACTATTTATCCCTGGCCGGCCTGAAACTTACTATATAGACCAGCCTCAACTCAGAGAGTTGTCTCTGTCTCCTGAATGCTGGAGATTAAAGGTATGCACCACCACATCTGGCCTCCAAACAAACTTTTTAAGGTACAAATAAATTGAGGTACAAAACTAAGAAATGGGTTGCCTAATGTCAGACCACAAGTCAAGGGCAGATCTAGAACTAAAATCTGGGTGTCTTATCTTGACCTTACAAACATTCTTTTCTGAACACCAAGCCTCCATTTGGGGAACAGCCTTTCTGGTTAATCTTTACATCTCATCCCTAACTTTGCTTTGAAAATCCCTGGAGGAACAGGGCTCACTACCAACAAGGCACAGTGCCAAAGCCCAAATAGCTGTCATCTCAAGTCCCCTTGATATGCAGCAGTCCTTGGCACACATTTCCTCAATGCCTTTTTCTTTCCTCATCTGGAACAACCACATCTCCATTACACCAAGTTTCTTCCTGTCAACTGGGACATCAAGAGAAATGGGTAGAACTTGGGAACCTGTTATTCCCATATGGTTAAAGGTAAGACCTTTGCATATGTGTGTGCTGGACCGTCAGCACTTTCCACACCTTTCTGAACGTTGTTATGAGAACCAGACATCTTGCTCAGGGACAAAGAGTTACTGCTGAGAGAAAAATTCACTGCTGATTATATCTCACTCCTTGAGTTTGCTAAACTCTTCCCTATGGTGAAGCAGAAAAGTCATATTATATCTGTGTATGTTCCAAGAAATGAATTGCTCAAACCCCACACAAGAGAGCTCCAACATAAGACTTAGTACTGTATGTGGCAGAAGCCTGCTCCATGGTCTATGAGGCTGTTATAAATGGAATTCCATCATGTGTGACTTCTCTATGTGAAGCAAGCTTCTATAATGCCATTAACCATACGAGATACTATAAAGGTTCCCCTCTGAGCCTATGAGCTCCTGGGTGTGTGGAACAAGGGCCTGTAGATAAGCATTATCTTTCTAGCCCCAAGGCCTACTATGTGGTCAACAACTGAACAGCAAAGAAACAAATAAGGAACTCAACTTAAGTAGGGGGTGTAACAGGAGATTAGACAGGAAAGGGAGGTCGGCACCAAAACGTGGAGGGTTTCACATGAAGCTTGTGGAATATGCACTTTCTGACACAGGCTATGAGTATGTATGTGTCTTTGTGTCTTTCACAGAACAGAACACTTTCAATATCAGAGTAGATCTCCATAGCAAGTGAAACCTTTGAAAGCTATCCCCTCTTTAGTCCAGTGCCGGTACAAGAAGTTCTGAGTCTTTTTCTCTTTTACTATATGACAAACTCATAGTTCCCAGGCACTCACTTCAATGTGTCGCAAGCAATTTCATTGAAGCATTGCATATACCTTGGGCCTAAGACCAAGTGCAAGAAATTTCACCCCATCAGGAAAATCATTGAGGCAGCTTAAGGTAATGGAAACTGGTGCTTTGGATTAAACCTGTCTCTTTCCATCTCTGTTTTTGGTGCCTAGATAATGGCTGTGAAGGGAAAAAAACTAGAAAGCATATAGCTTGCATATTTTGGAATTAGTGAGGGAAGAAAGACCAAATGGAGAGAATAAGGAGATATACTCTATTCTGTAACTCAGTTCTAAACTGCAATCTATAGAATAGTAAAAATAGTCTTTAAACCAATGGTCAGAATGCTCCATCAGCACTACCCAAGCTCAGAATACTCTTTGGGCTGAAATTTGGGACTGTAGCCTTTCTCTGTGTAACTCTCTGTTGTGTATGATCAGAACAGAATTTGTCAGACCTTAACCATTGTGTTGGAAATCAAATGCTAAATGCTAAAGAGAAATGAGTCCCAGGAATACAGTGCAAATTACCTATCACAGTTTTAAATTGCTTGATGGTGAAAAGGGCAGGGGGGGTAGGAATAGCAAACACAGATGACTTTACCATTTTCAAAGATCATTTGCTTCTAAGTAATGTTCCCAATATTAAGGAATAGTTAGATAAGACCCCTTGGTCCATCATAACAAGATATCACAGACAGTGTCCTGTAAACAACACATTCATCATCTCACAGTTGTAGAGGCTGAAAACCCAAACTCAGTGTGTCAGGATTGGTTTCTGGTGAGGCTTCTTTTCCTGGCTTGTAGATAATCATCATCTTCTCACTGTGTCCTCAAATGGCCTTTCCTCTGTATTTGTGCAGAGAAAGAAGAGGGGAGGAGAAAGAGGGAAAGGGGAGGTAGGGACCACAGGGGGAGGAGGGGGAGGGAAAGAGGGAGAGAGAGAGATCTGATGTCTCTTCTCTTCTTATAAAGATAGCAGTTCTACTAAATTATAGTCCCATTAATATGATCCCATTTAACCTTAATTACCTCCCTAAAACCCCTATTTCCAAATATAGTCACATTAGAGCTAGGGCACCAAACTGAATTTGGAGGAGGACACAATCCAATCCCTAAAAGTATTGTCAAATGTACTTTTTTTTGAAGACAGGGTATCATGTATTCCAGGTTGGCCTTGCAATCCCGACCCTCCTCCCTCCTCCTTCTGAGTACTTGGATTACAAGTTTGTGCATCCATGTCTAGCTTCTTTGCTGAACTTTACTAATAAGGTGTAAAGCTGAAAAAGGTTCTGTGATTTGCACATACTGGTAAGTAGCTGAGGTCAAGACTAGAACTCAGCACTGTTAGGCTATGACCTTGCATTCTTTCTGTTACACTCTGTTGTCTTACTAAATGAATAAGGGTGTACCCCTCTGATTCTGTTTTCTTTCTTAGGAAGGCTGTAGAGATTGGTATAGGTTCTTCTTCAGGGAATTTTGGTCAAATTAATCCATGAATACACCTTGGTCTGATACTTTTAAGGAGATTATTATCAAACTAATTTTCTTAGTAGATAAGGGCCTTTCAAATAATCAATTCCCTTTGAGTTTTGATAGATGATCTTTTTTGAATTAAATTTTTAGTTAGGCTAGATATTAAAGGTTTTGGTAGATTGTCTTTTGGGGAATGGTATATTTCATCTAGGCTATCAAATTTGTGATTATAACATTTCCTTATTATCTATGAGACTTATAGCTTTGCTTCCTCCTTAATTTCAGATTTCAGTCATTCATTACCATTTTTCATATTTTGTCTGAACTTTCTATTAGTATATATTAATTATACAAAGTAATATTCATTATAACATCTTCATACATGAGATGTATGAAGGGAAATATACTCTTTTGTTGAAATATAGATGTCAGCTAAATCGAGTTGATTGGTAGTCCTGTTCAGTATGACTATATTTTTGCTGATTTTCTGCCCACTGGATCTGTCAAGAACTAATAGACTTAAGGAAAATCTTGAAATACAATAGCAACATTGTCTACTTTTGAGTCTTGTTTTTTTAAACGACAATGAAAACCTCTAATTTTTAAAGATTAACTTTTATTATATGTATTTGTGTGGATATATGCACATGAATGCAGGTGCCTGTGGAGTCCAGAGGGGTTGAATACTCCTGGAGTTCAGGTTACAGGCCATTGTGAGCTACCTGATATGGGTGCTTGGAACTGAACTTGGGTCCTCTCCAAGAGCAGCATATGTTCTTAAGCACTGAGCATCTCTCCAGCCCCAGCTAACTTTTAATTGGGAATACTTAAACTAATGGATGTTGAAATCACCACTGATGAAGTTGGATTAGTGTCTACCACACTTCTTACTATTTCTCCATTCTAGTTGTTTCCTTGTTCTTGGTCTCACTTTCCTTCTACTACATTGCCTTTGGTTAAACACCGTATAGGATTCCATTTTGTTTCACTTCTTATATTTTGGTTCACTTCTTAGTGTGTAAGCTATATGTTTTCCTTTTTACTAACTGCTGGAGATATAACCCAGGGTACTGCACTAGCTACATCACAGCCTCACATTTACTGTTTGCCATTGACTTTATAATATAAATTTCTAACTGATCAAATTCCATTTTCAATGAACACTGCACCACTTCACAAGTATTCCAAATATCTTACAACAATATTCCCCAACTATTCTTCTCATTCTTTACAATACTGCTGTAATTCATTTTGCCTATTAGATAATCACCAAATAGAATATTGCTGTTCATTTATTAGAAAAATGAGAATAGCAATGAAAAACATCTTTGTTTTTTAGCGTATGAGAGAAGAATAAATAAATATATCAAAGCTGCCTATGCTTCACATAAACATAAACATGCACCTATTGGTAGAAGCCAGTTAAAGCATTCATGCTAATCCATTACCATGGCTTTGTTTTAAGCCCCAATAATTAGCTCTGCCCATGTATACATTTCAAGACTCCATTCAAATTTTTGTGTTCCCTATAGAATTTGGCACATAGTAGGTATTCCACACATGGGGAATTTCTTTAAAAGGATTTTCATAATGAGTGGGGTAAATGTTATTATGCATATGATCGATTCCATGTGTTTGGAAAGAGCATCATGTTTTGGAATGACCAAGAAAGGCTTCATGATGGAAGCTGAAACTGAATATTACCCTGAAGAATGGATAGGATTTACGTTGAATTGGAGGAAAATGAAATGGCATTCCAAGTTTTGGGCACAGCATGAGAAAAACTGCAGAAACAGAATAAGAAAACACTCTTTCTACTGTTAAAAACAGCCATCACTGGGACATCTTTGTGGCTTGAGATCTTAGAAGACATTGACAAAAACTATAGAACTGATTAGGTATGGTTATAGAGCGAGTGCACCCAGCTTGGGAGATACTAACTAAATAACAAAGACAAAGTTTTTTTTGAATAGTACTTAACAGTTAAGCAGTGCTTCTCTGCCAGTACTCAGTACTAGGTCTTTATTTTTAACCCAGGATTTTACTTGGAGCATTATATGTACTATGAAATTCAAAATATTCATTACTCAGCCTATAGCACATTGACTATGAAAACTGAACATAGAATGATCTTGATTGTTCTTCATTAAGAGGAGAACATAGTCTGTAGAGAGCATATTCTGCCAACTTGCTTTATATTTTTAATCTAAGTAGGTGCAAACACAAGAAGCATACAGGATACCTTCTTTTCAAGTATAAAATAACATGATTTTTTTAAAAAAAGATTTCTTATAAGATCCTGAGTCATTCTATGAGCTCTGATAAAGGTATATGTGTGAGGGAATTTGCTAACTGAAGTCCAAAGAGAGAAGGCAGCTTTCGTAATATCATCCAGTGAAGTGTGGACCCTGGACAACAATTCATCTCTATCTAATGTTAAAAGACATTATTTAAACAACATCATATTTCTCAAAAAAAAAGTTCAAAAATAGAATGACCTTTAATTTTGTCCCTAGAGGTAGATCACTATCAGGAAAGGATGTTACAGTTGTAATTTAAACATGGGGTTAAGAAGGTAGATAGACTTGATACTCAACTATTAAAGAGTCTTATGATCTAATCAAAATGTCTTAACATGCTTTACTGTCTTATAAAATAGATATGTAAACAAGCATATACTTATATACACATGAAACAACAGGGTTTTTGCTTCCCAGCAAAATTCCCCACCACATATCCTTCCTTTGAAATTTCATCTCAGCTTCCCAATGTTCTGGGGTTTTCTGAGCCAAAATGCTAGCTCTTACAAGCTTCCTATTTTGAAATAAGTTACTGCTCCCTATACCCAGGAATATTGATCCTGCAGAATCCTCTAGACAAAACTCAAGTTATCATATATTCTCCACTGTAAAATGGTTGTCTGGTGAGCACTCTAAAATGTATGAAACAGCTGTGAATATCACTATAGTAAATTTGAAACACCATGAAGAAAATTGAGCCATGTACTTTCAAATCAAATAAAAAAATATCAAGGATTTCTCTGAGTTGGGAAATCATTCAAGTCTTACAGCATTGTTTTTGCTTACTATTCTTAGTAGATTCAATTGGGTACTTAGAAAATGTTGACTGTTTACAACCCAGGGCAGATACTGTGCTGTGGTTGTAAAAGTACCTTGAGTACAGACTCTGAGAGTCTCCTCCCATGCCAGCTTCAGGACATCCTGCCATCTCAGAGCTACAGGGATCAAACAAAGTGCAATGAAATGGATCTTAGACTTGAGATAGTTGGGCAGAGATGAAGACAGCTTGAATCAGGCCTGAACTGATGTCAAAAGCAACATCTTGCTTCATCTCCCTTCTCTCCCACCCTCTGAGTTTAGGGTCAGTCACCTGGAACTGGAATGACTAGTAGGAGCAAATTTTTGCTCAGACAGCAAGATGGGATTTAGGAATAGTTTGTAAAATGACAACAAGATTTTGTTATTTGCTTAGCATAATCTAAGTCCAACATTGCCGTTAGACTTCTTCAGAATTCTGTTTTGGTTTCACTTCCTTTACTTCCTATTGAGTTACAGGAAAGCTCTCTTTCTCTCTTCAGCCCTTCCTCTATCAGCCTCCATCTCTCACCCCTCCTTCTCAGATAGACCTACTAAGCTCTCTTTTATAATTATGGAGGAGAGTTGGGAACTACTTCTCCCCTACCAGAGCATCTATCAACTCAAAAAAGACCAATTACAATTTGACAACTTGAGGCTCCCCAGATAGTAAAGGGCTCTAAAATAATAATTCTTTCAATTAAAAATATTGGTTCCCATAAATGTTCACACCCTGTGTTTTAACTATCTTTATCCTCTTGCATGGAAACTTGGGATATGATACAGCCTTTGCATCTAAAAGTTTGAAAAACTACTTGGGGTTAACAACCTCCACTTGGCTATAAATTAAAGGCAAGTTGGAGTCACAAGTTGCAGGCCTGTGGTGAACGCCTTTGAACCAGGGCAAAATGAAAGCAGTTGTCCATAACCAGCAGCCTTTTCCAGTACTGAGTGTGACTGAAAGGCTTCCAGGGCAGACTTTGAGCAGATTTCTTTGAGGAGTCCTCCAAAGCCTTCCCAAAGGGCTATTACTAAGTCTAAGATGGCGATTTCAGTTGTCTCTGTGTCCAGCTGAAATCCCTCTACTGAATATCAACTTGATATTAGAAAATAGATGAGCTTGACTCTTACAAGCCTTTAAGACTCCTAAGCTTTCTGAATTTATGTGGCATGAACCTATCTAGCAAGGCTTTCAAAGCCAGAGGAATAAGGTCACAGATCTGGACATCTGAAATAGGGTCTTACTCAACGTGTGACTGACTATTTCCAACCACTCTG